TCTGCCATTCACAATACACCCAATAATGATGAGGGATAAACAACAACAACACTTCCTCCTGAACTCACAAACAACAAGAAGGGTGATGCAGACAGCAGCAGCAGTATCAGCAGTTCTGTGTGGATGAGTGTACCACTACTGATTGTGGTTACACTGGCCTGTATTCTTGTGTGCTGATTGTAATGGTGGTGTAGTGGTGTGACTCAGGTCATCCTTTGTTTTCTTTTCTTTTTGCATGCATCCACACTACAGTCTAACTAATCTTCCACTTGTTGGGATTATCTTTCTTCTTTTTTTGTTTCTTAATGTTAATGTGTTTTGTGTGTTTTTGCTCTCTCTGTGTGTTTATCCTATAATTATTATTATTGCTACTCCATTGTGTGTGTCTGTGTTATTGGGGACTCTCTGTGTGCACCTGGGCTTGCACTCTAATGATGATGAATTGCTTTTTGCACTGGGAAAAGGAAATAATAATAATAATAATAATAATAATAATAATAATAATAACAGATGAATTTATATTTATAATTGCGTATATATACACACATAGACTTATACCCATAGTTGGTGTATATTTCTGTGTTTACTGGGTAAATTGGTATCAGTAGTTAATATCTCTATGTTTGTTTGTGTTTTGCTGGGCGTTTGTGTGTGTTTTATTTGGTAACCGTATGAATATTGGTCTCTCCTTTTGTGCTTGACTGAGTTTACTTTGCTGTTTTGTTTTCTCTAACTGGTTTAGTTTTTTATATGTGTTTCTGTTACTGTGTTTGGATTACATTTTTTATCTCTCATATTTTCTTTTTCTTTTATCTAGTCCATTGCTTTTAAGCGAAACCCACTATCGCTATTTTGACTATGAGGGAATCGATGCGCCGCATGCTGTGTTTACTGGTTCTTATGTTGTGCTGCGCCTATGGGTGTGTGTCGGTTACAGCTGCCCCTCAAACTGAACGTGAATCTCACGCTGCTGGGTATGGGATTGGTAGCACTGGTCCGAAGCCCGCTTCTGATACTCCTGGTGGCCTTGGGCCTCAGATTGCTCCTGGAACGCCTCATCCAGGTACTGGCGTTGCTGTTGTTGAGGTTAATAATAAGACTGGTTGTCCTGTCAAAGATGGTAAGGTTATTCCATGCCTTCCTTGTAAAGCTGGAGTTAATAGTACTGATGATGCTCCATGTCTTCCCACTGAAACTTCGAGATATCATGGCGTTGCTGAGTCTTATGGCCAAGCTCTTAACTCTGAACGCGATACTGTTCTTAAGCGTAAAAAAACGAAACCGGTTCAACGGACTGGAGATGGACACGACGCAACTGATGAGTCTTACTCTCATGAGGAAAGTTTACTGTCACGTCCTGCTACTGTTGGTAATCGTAATCATACCAAAGTTAATACTACTGACGTTGCTGCTGCTGCTGTTCCTGGACACCCCGACCGTGTTCCTCCTACACCTTATGTTGCTGCTGGTAAGGAAAAACACCCAGCTGTGCCTGGGACTGGTCCTCTGGGTACAGAACTTAAATTTGGTGTTCCTGTTACCCCTCTGTCGCCTGTTTCGAATACATCAAATGGTAAACCGTCATTTCCCGGAGTTCATTCTGGCGTTACAACCGATTCTCCCGCTACAAGAACCGCTCATAAGTATCCCGATAAACACGGTAATCCACAATTCCCCGGTGTGCATAATAAACTCCATATTGGTGGTGGTGGAACTCCTTCTTTTGCTGGTAATCGTGGTCCTGCTCGTCCTCCTCGTGCAGATGTTGATGTATCCGAGAGTAGTGAAGAAGTCTCAGCTCCCACGAAAACGCAACCTAAAGAGAATAATAATCAGGCAGAGACTACTGCAGCACCTGCACAGAGTGAATCACCAAAGAACACCCCCAATACTCCCACTAAGGTGACGTCACCCGCAATACCAACAATACTGCAACCTCCTGTGCCTGCAAAGAGCGAGACCAAACCACCCAAGAAGCGTAAAGCAGACAGCAGCAGCAGTATTGGTTCTGTGTGGGTGCGTGTACCACTACTGATTGTGTCTGTGTTGGTCTCCGCTACTGTGTACTGAACAGTGGGACACACTTGAGGACAAATAATAATAATAATGGTTAAACTAACATAATCATAATTGCGAGTATCCCCTATGGGTGGATGAAATTAATAATCTGTTTACCAGCTTTCTCTTTTAATTGGAATATCTTTTCTTTTATGTGTGTGTGTTCTTTTTCTAATAATTCCATTACTTGCTTTTTCCGTTGTGTTTGCAGAAAACTGGGCTTTTCTGCTCACTGACGGTATACATCTCTTGCTAGTACACCGATGTGTGTGTGCAGTAATTTAATACATAAACTAGAGCCATGGGGTATTCTCTGTGTTTGACTCTCTCTCTTATTTGGGTAATTTGTGTGTGGTCTTCTCTTTTTTTCTTTTCTATTAATGTTTACATATTATCATACAAACGGGATATTCCTTTTTCTTGTTGCTTTACTGTGCAGTTGCTGCTTTTCTTTCTCTATCCCACTGTGCGTATTTGTTGTATTGGTGTATGTTTGTTTGTTTCTATCTTAATTTTTCCTTGTGTTCCTCTTTCTTGTATCAGTATATTGAAGTAAACAACAACACAAACAACAAAAACTGTAATGCCAAGGTGCAACCTGCACTGTTTCCTAACTCTTGCACTGTGTTGTGCTTGTGGGTTAGTATGGGCTCAAGATACCGAAAGTACTAGAACGGAAGGAACCCCTATCGCAGTTTGTTTTCCTCCGTTGGTTTCTACTGTGATTCGTAATGGATCTAAGACTCTTGAAACGTGTATTAACCCCAATACTGTTGAGAAACAGGAGAATGAAAAGAGCTCTACCACGTCGAAAGATCAATCGCAACAAGGTGAAAGGCCCATTGAGAGCGAGTTGCCTCCGGGTGAACAGCAAACCGCAAATGGAGAAAACACAGCCTCATCAGGATCAAGTGCTACTGACGGTCAAGTGAGTTCTGCCACTGCACCACAAAATTCATCTGAGAATTCTTCTCACAATTCACCCTCACAGAATGCCACTGAATCTGGAACTGAAGAGAGTGGGGTAACAAGTAGCACAAATGGCGCGGAAAATACAGAATCAACCACCACAACAACAACAACACTTCCTCCTGAATCCACAAACAACAAGAAGGGTGATGCAGACAGCAGCAGCAGTATCAGCAGTTCTGTGTGGGTGCGTGTACCACTACTGATTGTGGTTACACTGTCCTGTATTCTTGTGTGCTGATTGTGATTGTGGTGTGACTCAGTTCATCCTTTGTTTTCTTTTTCTTTTTTTTTTTGCATGCATCCCTACAGTCTAACTAATCTTTCTACCTGTTAGGATTTTCTTCTTTTTTTTTGTTTCTTAGTGTTAATGTGTTTTGTGTGTTTATCCTATAATAATTATTATTGCTACTCCATTGTGTGTGTGTGTGTGTTCTTGGAGACTCTCTCTGTGTGTGCACCTGGGCTTGCACTGTAATAATGATGATGAACTGCCTTTTGTAGAGGGAAGAAAAAAGAAATAATAATAATAATAACAAATGAATTTATATTTATAATTGCGTAGATACATATATAGACTTACACCCATAGTTGTTGTATTTCTTTGTGTTTACTGGGTAAATTGGGCTAATGATTAATATCTCTTTTTTTGCTGTTTGTTTGCTGGGGCGTTGTGTCCTTTGCCGTAAACTGTTATGATGATCTTCTTTGTGCTTATTAAGGTAAGGGAACAACAGATACTTTTTTGATCATGAGAGCGTATGCGTCGTCAAGCTTATCCATAGAAACGTATTTGTGTGTTTTCTGGTTCAGGTCATTGTGCTCTTGGATTCTTTTCTTTCCCTTTTATTGATTGGGAGTTTCTTCTTAATACTGGTTAATATTTGTTATTTTCCTTTCATTAGATTCCATCTAGGTGATCTTTTTGGATTTGTTATTGATTATCTTTTCTTTAATTCTTATTTGTTTTTGTTTTGACTTTCTCTCTTTGTCTCCTTATTTCTACAGAATAGTGAACTCAGAGTGTATTGTTATTTTTTATAACAATGATGGTGCGCCGTGTGGTGTTTTTTCTCGCTTTGCTGTTGTGTGTTGAGTGTCTCTGTGTGGCAGCTGCAGAGGCTCAACCTGAACCTGAGAGTGTTTCCACTTGCCAAGACGGTGAAGGTAGTGGTAGTTGTGCTGCTCGTACTTTTGCTGCATCTGGACACACTGATAACAGTTGCGGAGATGGTAGTAGTGGTAGTGGTTGTGCTGCTGGTGCTGCTTCTGGTCCTCATCTTCCTGCAACACCACTTCCACCTGTTGATGTTAACGCTTGTCCTCCAGAGAGGACTGATCCTCCGTGTACTCGTAGTGGAAGTGTATCTGAAGCTGCTACTGCTGTTGATTGTGTGGACTCTCCTCCTGAGAAGGATGGTTGCCGTAAGACGGATCTCGACAATCAAGATAATTGCGCTTCTGCTGAGACTAGTTGTAAAAACCAAACACAAGAAGAGAATCATGCTAACTCAAATGAAAATAGTAGAGCTAATGGTAGCGAACATCAAGGTCACGATGGTGAAAGTCATCCTGCACGTGACCAGGGTTCTCATACTGATGAAGGACAAGAGGGTCGTGCCAACCCAACTGTTACTGTTCTTCCTTCTGGTGAACCAGAAACTCTGGATACTCAAAGTGTAATCGGTTCACAAGGTGGTGCTTCTTCTCTCGCAGGGGGTACTGGCGGTGCTCCTACCGCTGCCGGTCAAACTGAAAGCAATGTGGCCAGTACAACCGAAGAAGACAGTGGATCTAAACAGGGAAGTGAAACAGTACAACCTTCTTCTTCTTCCAACAATTCGGCCAACGGGGGTGATGTTGGTTCTGATGCTGCAACACCTGAGAATGGCACTTCATCTGCAGAGAGTGAATCACCAAGTATTCAAGAAAGTGCGGGAAATACAGATACAGACACAACAACAACAACAACAACACTTCCTCCTGAACTCACAAATAACAAGAAGGGTGATGCAGACAGCAGCAGCAGTATCAGCAGTTCTGTGTGGGTGCGTGTGCCACTAC